GCCTTTGTCTGGTGTTGGTTTGTGGATATACCAGACTGGTAGCATTAGATAGAACATACACTTCTTTTTCAATTTTCTGTAAAATGAAGATAAGATTCGAATAATCTATCCACTGTATTATTTGTTAAAATTTTCCATCAGAGCTAAATGGGACACAGATTTTTCTGGTGGCTTACTTAAAGGCACTAGTGTGACTGACTGGTTTGTCCGTATTCAACTTTGCTTGTCCTATGCCCAATCAGCGAACTCTGCGTACTTTTACTTCTTCCCAAAAGAGGACCTTTTTACAATTTCCTTCTCATTTTGAAAATCCATAGGATACAAAACAGGTAACTGGGATGTAAATAACCTGAATAAAATGCATTTTGTACTTAAATTTAATTAAACATTACATATCTGCCCAGTAATAAGGAAAAATTGGATAACTTGGCTTAGAATTATTCAAACATTTTCCTTTAGGAGTAAATATACAACCCCATTTCATATAATTTCTCATAGTTGAATTATAAACATAAATGAGGAATCCGAATTTTAATATATAATACAATTTTGAAAAATATAATCAATGGACTGTTAAGAGCCAAATCTAAGGGTAGACAGTACCGGTACACCAAGGCCCTGGATCTCATAGGGTCAACTTTTGAATTGGTGTTTTGAAGAAAGAGTGGCACTGTCCAAGAAATTTATAGTTGAGAAAGACCTTGGAAAAAACTGCAAACACATTTGGATACAAGAAACATGTTTTATAAGTCTTGGTCTGGAAAAGCATTGAGCTGAATCCCATGTGTGTGGGGGGGTAGTAAATAGTTAAGAATGTAAGCACTATACGTGTGTGTGTGTGTGTGTGTGTGTGTGTGTGTGTTTAACAAAGAAAACTCTTTTGGAGATGTAGCAGAAGATGAGGTCAGTAGAAATAAAGATGTGACTGTGAGGCTGGCTGACTAAAAGAAACAACTTCATTTTAAGGTGGCATTAAGCTTTTAAACAGGGAGAGACATCCATTTAGTCCTTACGGGGACAGCTTAGGCCATTATGATCAGCCATGAGCCATATACTTTGTAGTGCTGACAAGAAAACCAGGGAAAATTCAAGAGGGCAGGCCCCATGGAAGGGACCAGAGTGCATCTTGCAAAGTGACTCAGAATTAAGTCATCTTTGGCTGAGTCAGTGAACCAGACGGGAGCCTGTTTGTTATGACTGGAGAAGTAAACAAGGGAACAGTCATGAGGAGCCATCAGAAATGATCTTTGAGATCTCCTCACACCAAGAGGCACAAGAGGAGGGCTTTAGCCAAAGGGAAAGGACACAGGGAAAGAACATCTAATTCATCGTAATACTCATTCAACTACTCCAGCAAGATGTGGGTTTTCATAAGACACTCCTGGCACTGAAGTACTCAAATATAGGCAGGCTGTCATAATCATTACCACCACCATCTTAGCTAATGCTTATCGAGAGCACACTAGACTGTGGCCTGGACATCTCGATTTACACAAGAAGAAGCCAGCAATCAGGAAAACACAAGTGCGACCAATATTCAGTGGAGTTGAGATTCAACAGCAGAGGTGGCTTTGGGGTGAAATGGCTGGGGTCTTAATTCTAGTCAGCAGCTCGTGTACAGAACTACACGGCGGGCGTTTGTGGCTTTCACGTAGGTCCCCCCCCCATCCCCGTTCATTCACACAGCAGCAGCCTGCACATTCTCTGGGACCCAGTCCTTCCTAACTCCCCACTCATGTGGTTCTGCCGCAGCCCGTTGCCATCCCCTTTTCTCATGGTCTAAAGCAGACAACTGTTACATGGTGTCTACCTGCAATGACGGCATGTCTGTTCAGAAAGAGATGGCCGGGGTTGGATTAAAAACAGAAAATCAGATTGGATATGGACTTTGTGTGGTTGCTATTCATAGTGATATGAAGAGGACAGTGTGAAGGCACATGCTGTGGGGGCATAAAAGCAAAGCAATGCAGCTCAAGGATGCTTAGCCACAGCTTTTCTGGGCCACTACTGATGTCCAAGTCAAGTCAATGTGAAGTCTGGTCACCCATGGGCCTTTGATGTTCCAACGAGGAGCTGCTCTTCTCCCTCTTGCTCTTTCTCCCCTGTCTTCCTCTTCCTCCCCCTCCGTGTTTCTCCTCCCCTCTTCTTCTCCTTTTCCTTTCTCTCCCTCCTTCTCCTTCCTTGTCCTCCTCATTCTCCTCCTCTTCCTCTCTTCTTCTTTCTCTCCCTCTTTTTCTTTATCTTCTCCATGAAGTCATTTATACCAAGGATTTTTCTTTGTTGTTGTTGTTGTTGTTACTTAAAGTGTTACTGCCCAGTAAATGGATAATAGGATTTCTGTTTTTCAGTTCTCGGGAGTAACTCTGATTTAGTTCTTACAAATGGATTAAATTAATTCAAACGTTGGACATGAAAATTGCCTGACATTATTCTTATAATGCATTGTAAGTATTGTCATTGAAGAGATGACCACTAACCTTTTTTTTTCAAGAGTAGAAGTACAGGAGAATGAAGATTAGGATGCCACAGATTAAAGAGGACAGTCACAGATCAAAGACAACAGTCTAAAGACTAGGATACTACAGATCAAAGAGGACAGTCACAGATCAAAGACAACAGTCTAAAGATTAGGATACTACAGATCAAAGAGGACAGTCACAGATCAAAGACAACAGTCTACCGGTGAGAAGAAACTACAGTAATGAAGAAAGACCCCCAAGGAGCTCACTAAAGCTGCTCACAGGGAGCATCAAATGAAGACGCAGAGCAAAGGACTCACTACTCAAAATCCTTTCTGTTCTGAAACTCACATGAGCTGTGGATGGGGCTTTATAGTCATGACAGTCCTCACAATCAAAACCCTGGAATATGCAGACCCAGCCATTCATAGGTCAAATTACTATTGATTCTACAACAAGTTTTTCAGAGTGCCAGATCAAATAAACCAAATCACTTGTTTATTTCAAATGCTTGCAGTGAATTTAGAGTTGATTTTGTGTTTCAAAGATCTCTTTGTCATTGAAATAACATTTAAAGAACCTCCCAAGTATGAGCTAAGCTCCTGGCAGTCTGAGAGAGGGAATTCATTTTTATATAAATCTGTTGCTTGAGAGTCTACTTCCAATCATTTTAAATTGCCTGGTGTGTTTGTAATTTCTACGAATTTTTTTTCAGAAAATGTTTTCAAGGTGGTAAAAATAAAAGCATAATTGCTTTTCTGGACTTGCATCCAATTCAAATGTGAAGTACAATTAGCAATTTGAGGCCGAGGCCAAAGGAAATTAGGAACAAACCACTGATTAATATTACAAATGGCAAACCTTTACAGAGAAGCACAGGCTGAGCGACACACCTCACCATCCTGGGTGGTCAGACACATCTGGGTGTCTGTCAGACAGTCGGCTAGACTGGCCAGGAGTCTGGAGTGACTGACACTGAGGGGCCTCCTTAGGAGTGTCTGATACTTGCACTTGAGGTGGGGACAAAACCTTCATCCTTGGCAGGCAGTAAGCATTCTAAGAATGGGGTGCTAGAAGCAGGTGGCGTGAGGTGGAGTGTGTGAGAAGATGGTTTGGGGTGGGGTTATGCATATGGTGGACAGTTAATTTCAGATTTCAGGAAAGGAAAGAGAGTGCTTTGGTTTTTTGATTATTTTTCAGCGATGGGGATTAAACCTCTTGCCTTGCTCATCTGGGTGAGAGGTCTACCACTGGAAAGAGTATACTCCCTATCTTATTGGGAACACAGCAAAGCAGTGTGGTACCTGAAGCAAGCAGCCTACTTTGGATCTGTCCACCAAGGCCTAACACCAGGGAGAAAGATTGTTGTTCTACTGTCAGAGGCCGAGATGTGGAACTCTGGGTCAGAGGACTCAGGGCAGAGGCCACCATTCTGGCAGGGTACATGGAGGCTCCATATGGACCCTGTTGGGAACAGAGTCATGATGAGAACTCGACCACAGTGTACTAAGCTGAGAGGCCTGGTCAAAAGGTCATAGACTGTGGCCTGGCCTGGGTTCACTGGGCATAGGGCACATACATGACATCCTTGGAGACTTCAAGAAATCCTGGGACTAAGAGCCTAAGAGCACTCTGCAAGAAGTTGGGTCTTAATAAACAGTTTATGGGTAGCGATGCCTGTGGACCTCAAGAATTTTTATCAGTGAGGACTGGAAATATCTCGATGCATATAAGTCGTTTGATATACTGTCCTCTGACTTGAAATACCTTTCCAAAAACAACAACAACAAAAACCCCAAAACCAAGGTTTCAGATAGATAAGAATCCCCCATCCTCAAAGGATATATTATGTTTGAACTCTTTGATTCAAATGATGTAGTAACAAAATTATCCTTATTTATTCATTTATTTTGGTGGTACTTAATGTACTTGTAAATTAGTTTCAAGTCATATTTGTGTTACAGAAGTCATCACACATCTTCCCATGTATTTTATCTTTTGTTTTGACTTTTTGAGACAAGATCTCACTATGTAGTTCCAGTTGTCCTGAAACTCAATATGTAGACCAAGCAGGCCTCTGCCTCCCAAGTGCTGGGATTGAAGGTGTATGCCACCATTCCTGGCTCTTGTGTATTTTATATAACCAAAGATAATTCTTACTTTTGGAAATGAAAAAAAAAGTGGATTTACATCAACCACGGAGAGATCTGTCACAGAATGAGCTCTCCACAGACAGGAATTGGATACCTTGATAGGAATCATGGGTTACATAGCTCTCTGGATTGAGAAGTTCAAACTTTTTCAGTGAATCTAAGTACTTCATTCAGCAGGTGAAGAAACATACCCACCTAGCCCAGGAGACATTATTTTGTGTGTGAGTAAACCATCATCAGAGAAAAAAACCAAAAACAAAACAACAACAACAAAAAAGCAATGAAACCCTAACTCTCCAGTTTGTGTGCTGGACCTCACTCACAGGCGCCATGAGCAATTCATTGAGTTTCTGTTAACCACACCCCCAGCTCAGTTCTTGGACTGTACCTTGGAGTATGCTCTTTATTATCCCCTCGGTGTGATCAGCCAGGAGATCTGCCTTGGTGATGGCAGCCAGGGACAGGTAGTTGGACATGTTCCTACACAGCTCCTTGTTACCTCTGTGGAGGAACTTCACTGCAATGGGGACAGCTAAGACCATCACAGGGGTCCGGTTGTAATTCTGAGGAAACATAAGAAGGCAACAGATAAGTGACTTAGTGTTCATTAGTTATTCATTCACTACTTGCTGGGCACCTAGAGCACACCTGTGAAAACCAGGGTCCTGACCTATCTACACAGCATGCCCCCCCCACCTTGTCTTACAGGCAGACTCAGGGACGGTTGATAGCATTCGCTGGAGGCATGACCTGTGAGGTCAATACAAGTATTGACTGAAACACAGTGCACTCAGGTATATGGGCAGCTACTATGTGTCAATGAATGCTAAAATTTTAGCCAATGATGTTCAAAAGAAAAAAATAGGTATAAGACTAAAACCTGAAGGCATTCTAGATTCTAAAATAATTTAATCTGTGACTCACCTTAAGGGTCTCATAAACGCTGACATCGGTACTTAGATAATTAGGAAATAATTATAGATATTATATGATTGTATATGTTCATTACCACCAACCCTACCACTTAGATTGACTATGGGCAGAGCTGTTTCATATACAGTGTGTTCTGGAGCTGTCTTCATTTTGCTACATCATTATACTATAAATAAAAGGGGCTTCTTTTCTTTGTATGAAAGGCTCTTGTCATGCCATCTATAGGTTTTGCTTTCTACTACTCCCAACAATTCTAGGCTTATGGCAGGTCCTCAGTAAACATGAGAGAATGAAAAATAAGTGAATAAGATGTAATTAGGCTGAGAGGTGACCACTGCCTATCAACCACATAAAAATCTGAACATGGTGGCATGCACCTGTGTCTCCAAGGCAGACACAGGAGAATTCCCAGGTCTTGTTGCCTGTTAGTCTTGTCAAATAGTTGGTGAGTTCATGGTCAATGAGTTTCATGTCTCAAAAAATAAGAACATAGCAAAAGAGGAAGACACCCAGCATCAACCTCTGGCCTCCACGTACAGGCACACACAGAGACATACAGACACACAGGCGTGCGCACACACATACACATGTACACATGCACATGTAGCACATACACACAAGCAGGGAGTAGGTAGGAAGAAAGAAGATAATGTAGACACATGGTGATGGATGTCACTGCAAACACAATGTGTTTGGAAGGGCATGTGACAGAAAACAGACTCTGGATTCCACTCTGGGCTTTGTCACCCTCTTGCTGGCTGATCAGAGCTATGTCATCCAATTATCCACATTTGTAACAGTGACTGTCATCATACTTTCCCATTGAGCAGTCTCTGATAAGTATGTCTCAGGGCAGACACAATATCAACTGACTGGTACAATAGGACTTTCCAGGCTGCTAAAGGACCAATGACCTTGGCGAGAAGGTCAAGTAATGACTATCCCTCAAATAGGATGTACACTGAGTAACTGTCTAGGCTCAGTCTGATCAGATTGTGGTCATTGAAGGGAAGCCTGGACTGGTGGTCAAGGGTAATGGGACAGAAACTTCTACCTCTCCAACAGTAAATGTGTGTTTCCTTTTTCTTTAGTAATTGGTTTCTGGGTTTCTGCTGGGGATAGCTACATGACTGCAGACAACACTATCCACTTTTTTTTTGCAAGTAGATATGGCCACGAGCAAAGCTTTAAACAGTGAGATAAAGAAGGCATACTGTGTCCAACCTTTAGGGTACTATTAGCATGATGTGACTTGACTCTTTTAATTAATTTTTCCCTTTAAATCTATCTGGAACAAGGACTTGGTAACAAGGACTGAAGCAGCTGTCTAGTATCATGAATTAGAAACTGTGTGTAGTACAGAGAAAAGAGGAGCCTCCGTATCAGCTCTGGACTGACACTTCTGAATTGTCCAACGAGAGATTTAAAAAAAATTATCTGTGTAGTTTAACTGACTTTCTATTTAGGCCTCTGCTATGACAGCTGAGCCTGCATCCTGACTAGAACAGTGCTAAGCCTTTCAATTTTTTGTAGCATCCTCGGTAGCTTAAAGGGAAAGTTATATCCTTGGACGGTGTGGACTATAACAAACTCTACAATAAAGACTAAAGAAGGAACATGAGGCTAAGATTGTCACTGATAAACAGGGTCTCAGAGAAGCATCACGCCATCTTAGATGTGGGGTGGTTAGGTCAAAAAGGATACTTGATGGGAGAAAAATGTGTCTTGACCCTTATGCCGACCAAAACAAAAATAAATTCCAGGTAAATTGTGTATCTAGTAATAAAAAACAAAGTAAAGGTGGAAAAAGGAGTATATTCAATATCCCCAGTGGCTTTGGGTCTATGAGCAGTTTCTCAAATCTAATTAAATATCACCATAAAAAGGGAGAATGTAAAATGCATAAGGAGTTCTAGCCAGTGATATTATAAGAGAATGAAAAGATTATCCAAAGGACAGGTATGTGCGATCCATTTATTCAACGAAGATCTAGCCATTACCAGAATATATGCATACAAACAAACTTGGGATCAGCATGAATAAGGCATGCAGCCAAAGGAGAAAACAGATAAAGGGTTTGAACAGATGCCTTATCAGTAAGGATGCAGAAAATGACTGAACACATGAAAATTTGCTCACTTTCATTAAAATTAATTTTGGACTGGGACTATCTACAAGGTGTCACCAAGGTATGAACTCTTCTCTGAGAAAGGCACGGCTCTCTCATTCGGTTTTCAGTTACTTTTTAAGTGGACTAAAACTTCGTTTAAGCACATTACCAAACACTCTATGCACCACTTGTGTTAGGATTTTGTGACTGACCATGACTTGAGTCTAATACAGTCAATAGTACAATAACCGCAGTGCCAGTGCCAGAAGGAGGAGTTGCCTGTTCATGCTGAGTATGCAGGTCAAGTAAAAGAAACATGGGTAGCTGAGACACTCAAGTGAGTTGGGAGCAATAACTTTGGAACACTCGTAACTTGGTACTGAGTCCATGATACTCGCGAAAATGACAGAAGATGTTACTGCTACAGCTTACCTTCCACCTCCAGATTTCAGCCTCACTAAAACCTACTTACTATCCTCCTTTCCTTCCTTTGGAGATTCTACATTAATTCCTTCTTGGGGAGTTTTCCAGTTCTTCTGCTTATGGCATTTCTAACCTTGGTCTGAAGAGTGATTAAGTGACTCAGTCTAAGAAAGAGCCATCACATTTCCCTGGAGCAAATGATGGCTCAGGAATAAGTATCTCACCAGATTCAGTTAAGGATTCTTCAAAGGGCTCCGTGTTTGAGATTTTCCTGCTGCATTCAAGGCACTAAGAGTTTATAGGTGTCACTATCATGCAACCTCAGTAGGCAAGAGAGAACCTGAATGAAACTTGAGGAAACACGGGGTCAGAGAGGCAAGCTGGGAGAAATTGGATCCTTTTAATATTTGAGTTCCATGATACAGAGTGTGCCTAGCCCACCTCCATTCCTAGATCTTTCTTAAAAAGCCAATTAAATATCCTTTGCTTAAGCATTCCTAGTATTCTAGTCACCAGGAACAAACAAGCAAACAAAATGCCTGATACATTTTTAACTCATTCCTATATTCCATCAATTTTCCAGATACAGAGTCAGGACCATGGTCTGCCTTGAGACATCTCTGATGGCTTATCTGGTTATCTTGGCCTGCCTTCCTCACCTTTTAGCAAATATATGTGGGCCTGATTGGACTGGCTATTGCTGGTGTGATAGGTTATGAGGCCTCCCTGGTAGACAGGTATCCTCTCTCCCAAGCCTGGCACTCACTCATATAGAATTGCTTGGATCTACTGAGGCCAACTCACACTAAGGGATTTCTAGAAGGCTGACACAAAATAGTGAATCCAAGGGACTTATTGATAGTGAGAGACTTTTCTTTGGTCATATCAGAACATCCCTCTCACATTATCAAGTTACCAAGAAGCCATGCCAGAAACCAGAGTCTTCAGTCAACAGCAGAAGATCAGGTGAGCTCAAAAAGATACTGAGATGTATTCCATCAAGATCATGGTAGAACCTAGTTAAAATAATGCACTTATTCTACAGCCATCTGTGATGACCAGAACATTCCATCCACCAAATTCAGTCTCTAATACCTGCTCTGAGTAACACTTGAGTACGTGTACACAGTGATCCATCTTCTATTTGCTAATACACTCTTCAGACTGTGATGTGCAGCAAGGTTAACTAATTTTTTTTCACTTTTCTCAATTATGGTATATTGCTGCTTCTTTGGATTCACATTCAAGTTACTTCTTCCATAGCATTGGATGCTACCCCAACCCCAAGTCTTGTCATCAGTTCTGTTTATAGCCATCCAATTACATTCAGATACATGTATATTACATGGAGGCTTCTGACCGCTAAACTTTCAACAGTTAAACCTGTCCCTATACTGACTGGTCAAAACCCTAACCTTGGGAACTTTCCAAAAAGGACTCCATGTCAAAGGGACTTTTTCCACACTGAGTGGTTCTTTTGGCCAAGAATAACTTGAAAGTAGAAGAGTACACGTTTTTTATTAGAGGAATCTCTTTAGGCACTTTTAAATTTTTTATTATTTATTTTTAAGATGGAGTTTTACTATGTAGCTCTGGCTGGCCTTGAACTCACTATATAGACCAGGTTGACCTCGAGCTCACATAGATGTGCCTGCCTCTGCCTCCCTAGCACTGGGATTAAGGGTGTGCACTGTGGTCTCAAGCATATTTATGTGTAATTAAAAAAAAAACCAAAAGTGGTGGCAACACAAAGTGGCCCTTGCTAACTGAGCACAGACAAACACAGGGAAGGGATCCGATGGATGGAAATCACTATTTTCTGTTTTAACCTCTGGAGTGAGGGCTCCAGGCCTCCTGCACCAACCAGAACCACCTCTGTTTAGAACAGTTCTGGACACCTGTGAAGTGTGGATCCGATGCAAGACCGCAACCCCCCCTCAAGTGCATACATAATGCCATCACGATAAACTTCAGCACACTCAACTTTTCTATCTTCTCCCCCACACCTATAATTTGGAAACCTCTAAAATGAAACAAAAAGTAAAACATTAAGCAAAGAGCAAACAAGCTGATCTAAATTCTAAGCGCCACCACCGAAAGCATTCCATCTCAAAAACGGTTGTCTAGACAGCCCCGACCGTATCAAAAGCCACAAGCACCGCTGACGAAAACAGGGTGGGAGTAAGGGGATAGAGGCCAGGGTGACATTGACAAAGAAGAATCCCATGGACCTAACAGATAACAAACAGCTTAGTGTCATCGGCTGAGCTTCATTTCAAAGGCATCTAATGCGGTAGATCTGGGCACAACAAGTCGTTTTATCTTTAGAGTTATTTGGATCGCAGGGTTGCTAATGGCATACAGGCAGAGAAAAGTCCTGTGGTCACCATTCTACAACAAATAAACCACTTTAGCAGCAGCTGATAATGTCACAGCCTATGGTGGAGCATAGATGTGAGCCTGCTGGTGTGAATATTATCTTACAAGTTCAGAGCTCAGGGAATGAACGGAGGGCACTGTGGTATGGAAATAAACTTGAAATCCTCAGAACTGACTGCCACACCTCGGTGGAGATGTGAAACAAGGGGGCCTTGTTCCACGATGCCAGGGGTTGCATTTCTCAACTTGATTGCACCATTTGAGCTCTTGGTAAGAGATTTTTCCTTTTGAAAATGCACTCTGGGAACCTTTCTGATCGAGTGTTTTAAAACTGGAAGGCATAAAGCAAAAGAGATGAGATACAGATCTCGGGTGGCAGCAACAGAGAGGCCCCTCTGCCTCCAGGTATTGAATTCAACTGGAGCTGTAGAAAAGCAAAAATCTCAAGAGATGTTCAAGTTCATCTATTAGAATAGGGCTCCTTGGGCATTCACCCAGCCTCAATGAGCAGACAGACAGAATGCTTGACTCCTGCCAGTGTAGCTATCTAGAAATCTAATAGACACAGTCATCTGGTTGTCCCAGTGGGGTTCTTGAAAGGTGGGAAGGGAGCAGGTCTGTTGATTGATCCCATCCTTCACATTTCATCCTCCTGTCCAAGGACCATGTCCAGAAGCCCACTGGAGGGAAGTCTAGTTGCTAAGGAAACCACAGGGTCTTTATTGCTCCCAAGTCCATACATTACTTCATTCAGTAGATATTACTGTTTGCCAAGTGCTATTTTAGGTGGTTGGAATACCTCAATGTGGGGGGGAGAACATAATTTGGGAGAATAGAGATAGACAAACAACCACCAGTGGCTGTAATTATTGAATGAACAGCTTGTTGTAAAGACTTGAATGCTGGGTTGGGCAGTGGCTTAGTGGATATAGCACTTGCCACATAAGCGTGAGGACCTTAGTTAGGGCTCCCCAATCACACATGAAAGCTGGGTAGGTGTGGTGGCCTGCCTATGATCCTAGCACTTGGAAGTAGAGATGGGGGCAAGCTGGTTAGCTCTGGTTTCATCCAGAGCTCCTGCCTCAGTAAATAGAGTGAAGAGCAATGGAGGAAGATACCCAATGTCAGCCACTAGCCTTCGCATAAACACCAAACACACACACAGGCAAAATAACAATAAAAAGAGAATGTTGTGTGGTGTCATACAGTCTCCTGCAGATGATGAGTCAACTGGAGTAAATAATCATATGGTATTTCCTACATCCTGAATATTTTTTTCTTTATTTTCTGTCTGATCATTTCTTCATTGCAACAAAACCACAAGGCAATTACCCTTGTATTCTGTACTTTATAGATGGGGCAATGAAGGCACTAAGTGTTAATTCATCCAAGATCACCTACAGGTAAAAAACAGAGAGGGGATTGCTTGTTGAGTAAGCTTTTAACCTTATACAACCGATTTTTCCCCATAAGAATCCACGCAGTATTGACTGGGGAGTTCTGCCATGAGCAGTGTGTGTGCACAATCAAGGAGGCTAGACATTAGGTCCTTTTACAATGCAGAAAATTATATCCTTCCTGATTTGTGGATTACTTCTAGCTCCTTTTGTATCCCTTGTCAGCCATTTGGATGATTTCCCTCTTCGTAGACCCTCCCACGGTAGGTAGCTGAGATGAGACAACAGATAATGCCGTGCTGACTAACATATGACACATGGTCTACTAAGTAAGGTCGTTGAAGAATAGAGAGTGCCACGACTCATCCGACAAGGTTAAAATCAGGTATGGAGTCTTGGTTCTCTGGAATTTCATTCTAGTGCACCAACTATGCCAACACTTCTTTTTTTTTTTTCGAGACAGAGTTTCTCTGTATTGTTTTGGAGCCTGTCCTGGAACTCGATCGGTAGACCAGGCTGGTCTCGAACTCACAGAGATCCACCTGCCTCTGCCTCCTGAGTGCTGGGATTAAAGGCGTGCACCACCAATGCACGGCTATGCCAACACTTTTAATACCCCTGCTCCCCATGTCTGTCTTCATCCGTCCTCTCCAAGTTTGCATTTGTTTTAGAAGACAGAATGTCTTGTGAATCATTCTTTTCAGGGGTTCTCCAGGAGATGGGCAATGGCTGAGTCCATAGAGTAACTTGGTCAGAGGAGCTCCTAGCCTCGGGTAAGCTGCGGCTTGAACCGGGTGCCCCTTGTCATGTCGGCGCCACATAGAGAAAACTATTGCAATGAAAGTCCTTCTCCATGTTTGTCTGCCATCACAAGTCTGCAGCACACGATTTTAACATCTCCGTGTTTCTGTGGACCTACGCGCTAGCTAGAGGTCGCCATGTCTTCCAGACAGTGGGCATTGTTATCCCTAATTTAGAAAGGGCAAAGCAGAGACCTGAAGACACGGATTTGCCCATTTCTCATGCATGAATAGGTAGGTATTCACAGTGCATAGAAAAAGAGACTTAGAAGGAGTCAGTCAGCTGGTTGTGGAGGCACAGGCCAGTAGGATTTGCTGAAGGAGGCAGAGGCAGGAGGATCACGAGTTCAAGGTCAGCCTGGGCTACACATAAAAAAAAAAAAAAGAGTCAGTCAGGCTGGGGAGACATCTCGGTAGACAGAAGCATTTGCTAAACAAGCGTGAGGGCCAGCGTTCAAACCTCTAGCATCCACATACAAAGCTGAGCGTGGCTGAATGTGCCTGCAATGCTGGTCTTCAGGTTCAGTGAGAGAGCCCGTCTCAGGAGAAAGTGGGGAGAGATGGAGCAGGGCACCTGCCACCCTCCTGTAGCCTCCCCATGCTTTCATGACTGAGGAGGTATTATTTTTTAATTCTTTACAGTATAGCTCACAGGGACACAGCAAGGACTCGGTAGGTTTTCTCAGTCTATTAGCTGGCAACCTGCTGGTTTAATCTATCAGTGGCTTATGGTGTCTTTTTTACAGTATCTAAGAGGCGCGCGCACACACACACACACACACACACACACACAATTGCCTCTCAGTACAGAGATGTCATGCGTTCGCATTAGCTGCTAACTCAGTATCGAATTGCCTGCTGCTGTGCAGCGACATTACCTGCAAGATGCAACTCGTGATATCAGATGCGATTTTTGCATGCGGAGTATCTTCGTCTTTCCCTGCAGGCCTCAGGTTGTGTTCCAAGCAGGAATCCCACAGTCCCACCAGGGCCCTGGCATGCTTTTCAATGGATTCCGTCTCTCTGATGGCCGCTGTGATCCTTGTGATACAGATCTCAACCACCGCCTGGTCGTTATTATTAGTTTGGTAATCCTATTTAGGAAGAAAACCTTCAAGTTAGTAAGCACTCTACAAAGTCGTTCTTAAAAAGAGACGCAGTAATGAGTCATTTTGAAAATGCTGTGTGTGTGTGTGTGTGTGTGTGTGTGTGTGTCACTGTGCGCTAAGGAGTGAGGCTGTTAAGCCCTTTACCGTTGGCCTTCCTCTTACAGAAGAGGCAGAATATAGATCCAAGCACCTGCTGTCACTAATAAAAGGGAGGGTGACAGCTGGCCAGAGGAGCTGGGTCATTAGGGTGCAAGCAGGTGACTCCCCAGGTCATTTCAGTTTCAAGGTCCCTACAAGATAGAAGTTACATTTTTACACTGATTTTCTTTTTTTTAGTCATATATTTGAAAAAAAATTCACATTACTTTGTAAGTTTCCCTCATCAGCCCCTTTCTCAGAATCCAAAAGAACTCAGTGTCTCATTTCTTCCTCTTCAACTCAAATAAGTTAACAAACCCAGGTTAGCTTTCCCCACCCAAATTCTCTTCTGTCTCCCTGTCTTAATTACCCCCCCAAATACGTCACCATCTTTACTAAGAAAAAAAAAATACGATCCCTTAAAAATGTTTTAGATGTAAAAAAACAAACACATATAACAAAAATGCTTATTGCTTTGAGTTGGAAAATGGGTCTGACTGAACACCACAATGGGGGGCTCCTGGATAGGAAACGCAGGCAAGCATTCAGATGCCTGGGCCATCTCGCTCGGTTGGCCAACTGGGAGTTCTCACACCCAACATTATTTTTTACTGTTGTAAATGGGGGCAATAGACATCTCACTGTGACTACATGTACCCCAGATTTCTTTCTCCAGAAGAGTAATTCTCTGAGGCAAAGGACAGAGATAATTTGGAGGTCCCTACTACGTATTACTAAGCTAACTTACAGGAAGATCTCATGAATTTAAACTCCTGTTGTCTGGGTAGAAATATAATATCTTCTTTGTGCTTTTGCAGGAACAAAGCATTTTCAGTGTTTGCTGATTTAATCAGTGGAAAATAGCATCTCATTCCTGTTTGGCGTAGGCACTTTCTTGAGTCAAACTGAGCATGCGTATCTTCATGTGTTTATTGGCCATTTTTATTTCCTCCATTGGGAATTGGGCAATGAGTGTTAAGTCTATTTTTCCTTAGCTGACTTCATTTTATTTTTGATCCTCCTTTGTAATGATGTTTTTTCCTACTAAGGATATTAAGGCAACATTTGAGTTAGAAGTCTGCACATGCTTCATCATTCCTTTTCAAAATGGCTATTTACTAACAGATTAAGAGTTTGGACCATTCCTGAAAACAGCTTGGTATTGGCACAAAACTAGACAGGTAGACCAATGGAATTGAATTGAAAACCCTGATATTAACACCTGATTTTTGACAAAGAAGTTAAATTATACAATGGAAAAAAGAAAGCATCTTCAACAAATGGTGCTGGCATAACTGGATGCTGGCATGTAGAAGACTGCAGATAGATCCATGTCTATCGCCATGTGCAAAACTTAAGTCCAAATGGGTTAAAGACTTCAACATAAATCCAGCCACACTGAACCTCTTAGAAGAGAAAGTGGGAAGTACCCTTGAACAAATTGGTACAGGAAACTGTTTCCTGAATGTAACACCAATAGTACAGACACTGAGATTAATAAATGGAACCTCCTGAAACTAAGAATCTTCTGTTAAGCAAAGGACACAGTCAACAAGACAAAATGTCAGCCCACAGAATGGGAAATGATATTCACCAAACCCACAATTGACAGAGGGCTGATTTCCAAAATATACAAAGAACTCAAGAAGCTAGTCACAAAAACACCAAATAATCTAATTACAAAGTGGGGTACAGAACTACATAGAAAATTCTCAATAAAGGAATCAAAAATGGCTGAAAGACACTTAAGAAAGTGCTCAACATCCTTAGCCATCAGGGAAAGGCAAATAAAAACAATTCTGAGATACCATCTTGCTCCTGTCAGAATAGCTAAAATCAAAAACACCAAGGACAGTTTATGCTGGAGAGGATATGGAGAAAGGGAAACACTCCTCCACAACTAGTTGGAGTGCAAACTCATACAGCCACTTTGAAAATCAGTACAGCGGTTCCTCAGGAAAATGGGAATTAGTCTATCACAAGATCCAGCAATTCCACTCTTAGGCATAAACCCAAAGGATGCACATTCATACAACAAGGATATCTGTTCATCTATGTTCATAGCAGCACTATTTGTAATAGACAGAACCTGAAAACAACCTAGATGCCACTCAACTGAAGAGTGGATACAAAAAACGTGGTATATTGACACAATGGAGTACTACTCAGCAGAAAAACAATGGAATCTTGAAATTTGCAGGCAAATGGATAGAACTAGAAGAAACCATCCTGAGTGAGGTAACCCAGTCACAAAAAGACAAACATGGTATGTACTCACTCATATATGTATATTAGACATAGAGCAAAGGATTACCAGCCTACAATCCACACCTCCAGAGAACTAGGAAGCAAGGAGGACCCTAAGGGAGACATACATGGTCCCCTGGAGAAGGGGAAAGGGACAAGGTCTCCTGAGTAAATTGGGAGCACGGGGGAAGGGAGGGGGGAATTAGGAGAAAGAGTAGGAGAGAAGAGGAGGGGAGAGGAAGACATGAGGTAGCAGAAAGATTGAGTCAGGGAAGAACAGAGGAGAGCAAGAAAAGAGATACCATAATAGAGGAAGCCATTATAGGTTTAAAGAGAAATCTGGCACTAGGGAAATGTCCAGAGATCTACAAGGATGACAGCAACTAACAATCTAAGCAATAGTGGAGAGGCTATCTGAAAGGCCCTTTCCCTATAATGAGATTGATGACTACCTTATATGCCATCCTAGAACCTTCATCCAGTAGCTGATGGAAGCAGAAGCAGACACCCACAGGTAAACACTGAGCTGAACTCCTGGAATTCAGTCGTAGAGAGAAGAGTGATGAGCAAAGGGGTCAAGACCAGGCTGGAGAAACCAAGAGAAACAGCTAACCTGAACAAGGGGAAATTCATGGACCCCACACTGATAGCTGGGAAACCAGCACAGGACCAAACTGGACCTCCTAAATGTGTGTGTCAGTTAGGAGGACTGTGTAGTCTATGGGGCCAATGGTAGTGGATCAGTATTTATCCCTAGTATACAAATGAACTTTGGGAGACCATTCCCCATAGAGGGATACTTTCTCAGCCTAAACACATGGGGGAGGACCTGGGCCCTGCCCCAAATGATGTGACAGATTTTGAAGATTGCCCCATGGAAGGCCTCATCCTCCCTGGGAAGCAGAAAGGGGATGGGATAAGGGGTCAGTGGGGGCAGAGCAGGAGGGGAGGGAGAGGGAACTGGGATTGACATGCAAAACAAGATTGTTTCTAATTTAAATAAAAATAAAGAGAGGAGAAAAAGAAAGAAAATATGTTTGGACAGTTAAATCAATTCAGCCTTTGAGTTTTGTATTTTTTTTTCCTGTTGTGGAATAATCACTGTGGTTGGTTTAATAAAAACCCTGAATGGCCAGTTTTTATGATGGTAATACAAGTTATGACAAAAAATGGTTTTGGTATAAAACTTTGGACTAAGATAGGATAGATAATACAGAACTTTCTCCAAATTTGCCAAATATAAGTGGACTGGACATTGGAAATGTAATTCTTACCTGACAATTGTTCTTTGTTTTGTTTTGTTTTTGTTTTTCGAGACAGGGTTTCTCTGTGGCTTTGGAGGCTGTCCTGGAACTAGCTCTTGTAGACCAGGCTGGTCTTGAACTCACAGAGATCTGCCTACCTCTTCTGGGATTAAACACATGCGCCACCACCACCCAGCTCTGACAATTGTTCTTATTGTATATGATTTCACTATGTTAGGGTTAAAAGTTTTCCCTTTTATTAGACAAAAAAGGAGGAAATGTTGTGAAATATTTTTTGTACACTATGAAGATGTGCCACTCTGGTTGGTTTGATAAAAAGGCTGAATGGCCAATAGCTAGGCAGGATTCTCAGGTCAGAGAGAATGCTGGGAGGAAGGCGGCTGTGTCACCAGCCAGATACAGAGAAAGTAGGACATACAGGAGGAGAGCTAACAGCCACGAGTCACATGACAGGATCTGTAATACGCACGGGCTAAATTAAGTTACAAGAGCTAGTTAGAAAGCAGCCTAAGCTAATTGGCCAAGCTTTCGTAATTTATAATAAGTCCCTGTGTGATTTGGGAGCTGGCCGGTAGGACAGAAAAGTCCACCTACATTTTCCTTCTAAAATTAGAAACTCAAATCATTTGTGTGTGTGGTTTTTTTTTTGTAAATCTTTGAACAGTTTTATTTCTATTTTATGTGCATGGGTGGTTCCCACGCATGTTCATCCGTGCAACCCCTGAGTGCCTGAAGAGGACAGAGAGGGTATCAGATACCCTAGGACTGGGGTTACAGATGGTTATGATCTGCCACGTGGGTGCTGGAATCCTGACTTCAGTCCTTTGGAAGAACAACCAGTGCTCTTGTAACCACTGAGCCACCCAGCTCCAAAGTTTTACTAAGTTGAAAGATAAGGTACAAATGATGCAGAAAACAAGGCTGGGAATTGAACCTGGGTCTTCATGAAAAGCAGCCTGTGTTCTTAGTCCCATCACCCACAAATGACAAAATGTACACAGACAGATTGTCAGAATTATAGGATAGCTGATTAAGTTTGCTGGGTATAAAATCACTAAAAAATGTATTTGGCACTCTAGAGAAGGCTAAGTGGTGAAGCACTTCTGAACTAATGACCCGAGTTCATCCCTGGAACCTGTGTAAAGTGGAAGGAGAGAATAGATTACAAAAAGCTGTCCTCTGACTGTCACACACATGCTATGACATGCACACTCCTACCATACCTGTCATACATACAGCAATAACAAATAAACTGTTTTACAGTCACCTGAAAAAAGTAAAAAAATAAATAAATAAAAAAAATGTCATCGTTAGCCCTACCTAAGAATATATGAT